ACGCTGTCTCTGCCTCCGCCGCCATCTTGGATCTCTATACAAAGGCTTTTGACGGCGTGGAGCTGTGGTTGAGTCTGAGGAGAATGGGAATCCCAGAACATGTGATTGTGCTTATGTGAAATCTAAACTAGGACCAAGAAGTAGTCATCAGAAAAGAGCAAGGGACACTGTACAGTTCAAAATAGGGAAGGGTTCTGTCAGGGATGAATTCTATCTCCATACCTTCTCAATCAGTATGCAGAACAGATCATCTGGGATGCTGAGCTGTATGAGGAGAAATGTGGCATCAGGATTGTTGTAAGATTCATCAACAACATGCCTTATGCAGGTAACACAACCCTGCTTGCTAAAACTGAGGAGGACCTGAAGTACTTGTGGCAGAAGGTTAAGGATTGCAGCTTTCAATAACGATTGACGCTCAACATCAAGAAAACAAGGATTCTCACCACTGGGCCAACTGACAGCGTCAGTATGGATGGTGAAGAGACAGAGATAGCAGCTTTCATTTTTGGCTCCACAGTCAACGCTGTTGGTACCAGCAGCCAGGAAATAAAGAAATGAATTGCATTAATTCAGTCAGCTGCCAGGGACCTCTCCAACGTACTGAAGAGCAACGACATCAGGCTGGAGGCTAAGGTGCTCCTGATCAGGGCTATAGTCTTTGCACTTATGTTCTGTGCAATAGAAAGCTGGACAGTGACTAGGGATGACTGAAAGAGAATTGGTGTCTTTAAGCTGTGCTGCTGGAAAAGAGTGTTGAATATACCATGGACTGCTAGGAGAACAAACAGGTTTGTCCTGGAGAGGGTGGAGCCAGGCTGCTCTTTGAAGTAAAAAATTCTGAAGCTTCATCTGACATACTTTGGGCATGTTTCAAGGAAGGATCGATCCTTAGAGAGAAACACCATGTTTGGGAGAGAGGGGGATAGCACAGGAGAGGAAGACCCTCGATGATATGAAGTTATTCAGTGATTGTGGTAGTGGGAGTAGGTTTCTCAGAGACAGTGAGGTTGACACAGGCTAATGCAGGGTTTAAGGCTCTTGTACACAGGGTCACTATGTGTTTCAAGCAACTCGACAGCACATAACAACAACAACAATGTCAATTTATCTCTCTGGATAGAAGAGACCATGGATTCCTGCTCGGTTATATCATTTTGTCATTTAGATTCAATAAATATTGAGTCTAACATTTTGTTCAGAATCATCAGCTTCTGAAAGTCCTCTTTGTGACAGAATTTTTCTATCCAAACCTTCAAATCAAAACTCATTTCAATTCTATACAGACTCATAATTGAATCCGTATTGGCTTCCAAAGGCTATAAATCCTACTGGACAAGGTTGCCCATATTCTCCCCTAGATCATCTGTGACATTCAACCAAGCAGAGAGGCAAGACTTTGGGTAAGACCAGGGCAGCCACTATTCTTCAGGTAGAACATTGTTCTGTGACACTGTGGCACTTTAATGGTCCTCTTCAATCCTGGCCTGGAAAAAATCTCTCCTGTA